GAGAGCCCAGTTGCTAGAGTGAGTGCTTGCCTGGCATGCATGAAGCCCTTGATTCAATGACAAGTATTGCAAAAAACTTGGTATGGTGGTATACACAGCTTGTAGTCTTAGCATTGGAAATGTAGAGGCAGGATGTTGAGAAGCTCAAGGTTATCTTCAACTATATAGTGTGTTTGAGGGCAGCCTGGGTTAGAGATCTAGTCTCAAAAAAACAGCAAAGTGACCACACCTTTAATCCCAGCATTCCCAACACTGGAGAGGGAGTTGGGGCAGAGGCAAGTGGATCTCTGAATTTCCCAGGCCAGCCTGGTTTTCATAAGGACTTCCAGACCAGCCAGGGCTATATAGTAAGACCTCCATCTCAAAGGGGGTAGTGGGGTATGGATAAGTGGCTCGGCTAGTAAAAGTGCTTGCCATGCAAGCTTGATAATTTTGAGTTTGGATCCTTGGAACTCATGTATAGAGCTGGACACTGGTGACATGTGTCCTGGTACTTCAATGTTAGATGAGGGGCAGAGATGAGAGAATCTCCCAGGCTAGCTAACCTGGAGTACAGAACACAGCAGCAAATAAGAGAGACCTTGTCTCAAATAAGGTAGAAGGCATAGACCAACACTTGGCTTGTCCTCTGACCGTCACACTTGAGCCTTAGTACATGCATGCCTCTCATGTGAACACGCACACAAGTACTAAATATGTGTGTATCCCGGTATGTCTATTACATAATTTATCATGGATCTCTAATTTCAGCTATGTATAATCCAGAATTATTTTGCAATTAGGTAATGGCTTTACCTAAGGCCTTTATCTTTTTTTGACTGTTAAGCCAGATCACCTTCATCCTTTTTTTAAAAAAATATTTTATTATTTTTATTTTATGTGTATGAGTGTAATGCCTGCATGTAGGTAAGTGCACCCGTGTCGTGCAGTGCCCGCAGAGGACAGAAGAGGCTGTCGGAGCCCCTGGAACTGGAGTTATAGACAGTTGTTAGCTGCCATGTGGGTGCTGGGATTCGAACCCGGGTCTTCTGCGAGAACAGTCAGTATTCTCAACCGCTGAGCCATCTCTCCAGCCCTATTCTTTTTTTAATTCAAATTTTTTGCTGAATTATTTTTATTTTATCCAGATGAGTGTTTTGCCTACATGTATGTGCATCCATGTTGTGTAATGCCTGGGAGGCCAGAAGAAGGGAACTGTAGTTACAGATAGTTGTTAGCTGCCATGTAGGTGCTAGGAATGGAACCCAGGTCCTCTGCAAGAGCAACCAGTGTTCTTAACCACTGAACCATCTTTCTAGCCCCCCTGAAAAAAAATTTTTTTTTTTGGGTCCCTTTTGAGATAGGGTCTCTTTGTAGCCCCAGCTGGCCTGGAACTCACTATGTAGACCAGGCTGGTCTTGAACTCACAGAGATCCGCCTGCTTCTGCCTCCCAAGTACTGGATCAAAGGTGTGTACTACCACTCCCCATCCCTAAAAAAATTTTGTATGTGTTTGTGTGCTGGTACTCAGGCAACATGGTGCACATGTGGAAGAGGTCTGGGGACAACCTTCGGTCGCTTCTTTCCCTGTGCCAACACAGGTAATCACATCGGATTGGGAGACAAATGTCTTTACCTGCTGAGCCATTTACTTGGACCTCATCCAGTTTTTGTATAATTAAAAATTTGATTCTTAGTGTAAGATTTTATTTGGATTTAAAAATATTTATTATTATTTTTGGTCTTTATGAGACAGGGTCTCCCTGTAGCCCCAGCCGTCCTGGAACTCACTATGTAGACCAGGCTGGCCTTGAACCTACAGAGATCCGCCTGTCTCCCAAGCGCTGGGATTAAAGGTGTGTGACACTATACTTGGCTTTGTGTTTTTTTGTTATTTACTTATTTTTATTTTATGTGTATGAGTGTTATGTCTGCATGTAAGTGCACTAGTGTCATGCAGTGCCCACAGAGGACAGAAGAGGCTGTTGGATCCCCTAGAACTAAAGTTACGGACAGTTGTTGGCTCCCAAAAAAAAAAGAAATTTTATTTATTATTTTATGTATATGAGTGTTTTGCCTGCATGTATGTAAGTGTACCCTGTGTCTTGTCACAGAGGTCAGAAGAGAACATTGGATTCCCTTGGAACTGGAGTTATGGACAGTTCCTAGGACATCCTAACCGAGGATGACCTAAAACTTCTGATGCTTCAGCTCTTGCTTCCAAGTACTAGCATTATAGTCAGGCGCCAGCATGTCCAGCTTACTTGCTTGCTCATTCACTGACTGACTGACTGACTGTCTGTCTGTCTATGTGGTGCTGGAGATCAACCTCAGGACCTCACACATAGTAAGCAATCACTTGTACTGAGTTATGCCTACAGCCCCTGCTTTTAAATAGAATCTTCTTTTCTCTCATTGCTATCTCAGCAGAATGTCTCTTTCTCCCTTAGTTCTGTCACTTATCTACCAGTTATTTCTTCTATAGGCAGCATGGTTGGTAAGCATACCTTTTAACAGATTTGTGTGTGTGTGTGTGTGTGTGTGTGGGTGAAACAAACTAGTCAGTTTGTTAAGAAGGAACTTCTGAGAATAGACCAGGTAAGAGAACTGGGATAGGTAAGTTCATGGCCCAAAAGCCTTTGACCTCCGGCATCATGACCCTTTATAATTCACTTATAACAGGTAACAGGTACCTGTTCCCACATTTGTATATCATGTGCTTTTCTTTTTTTTAAAAAATACTTTCTTATTTTTTATTTTATGTGTATGAGTGTATTACCTGCATGTGTGTAAGTGTACCCATGTTGTGCAATGCCCATGGAGGCCAGAAGAAGGTGTCACATAGCCTAGAACTGGAATTACGGATGGTTGTTAGCTATTGTATGGGTGCTGAGATTTAAACCTGGATCTTCTGTAACAGCGGCTCATTCTCTTAATCACTGAGCCGTTCTCTTAACCACTCCAGCCCCATATGTTAATCTTTTGAATGTGTTCTAGTTAGCATGTATTATATATATTAATAATGAGTTTCCTTGTATTTTCATACATAAATATAATGTAGTTCAATCATAATCAGGTCCCCACCCTTTCTTGTCCTCTTTCAACTTCTTCTATTCCCCACCCTCTTCCCAGCTAGCTCCCTTCTAATTTTATGCCATGCCCCCTCCTTGCTGCCCCAGTGAATTTTATTATGATTGTTTCCAGGAACACTGGTAAGGGTTACAGGAGCATAGGCATCTTGCCAGTAGCAACACCACTGAAGAAAATGTCTCTCCCTCCACATCAACCATTAACTGTATAAATCCTCAGGGAGAGATGGGGCCCAGTGATGTGGTCCAGTTTTGTGCAGATCTGGTATTGGTAATCACAGCTGCTATGTAATTTAAGATTTTTAATGGGGGATAGGGGTATAGCTCCAGTTGGGGAGCATTTGCCCAGCACGTTCAGTGTTCTGCATTTGATACACATTGTGACAAAAACAGAAAACTTCAACAGGACTGTATAGGATGTTGTTAGATTTCTTTCTGTTGTGAAGCAGATCCTTTAATTAGTTCATTGCTGACATTAAGCCAGCTAATACATCAAACTAATGCTAGGATGGTTAAATTTCTGTGTATGTATATGATAGATTGTAATAATAGTTCTGGAATAATAGGTGCTTGTTAGTCCATTTCCCATTGCTATGACACATAACCTGAGGCTGGGTACTTCATAAAGAAAAGTGGTTTCTTTAGTTCCCAGCCTTGGAGACTGAAAGTCCAAACATCATAATGTTGCCTTGGCAAGAGACTCATAATAAAGATGGTGACAGCAAATTTGAGGAGAGATTACATGACAGGACAGAAAGCTGGAGGTTAGGAGTGTTCAGGACAGGGTTTCATGTAAGAGCCCAGGCTGGTCTGGAACTTGCTATGTAACTGAGGTTGGGGTTGAATTCCTACTTCTACCTCTCATGTGCTGAGGTTATGGTTGTGTGCCACCATACCCAGCTAGTCTTACTTTTTTATAAGAACTCACTGTTTTGAGAATCAACTTGCTCTGAAGAGCTGTATTAGTCTCCCCCAAAGACCCAGACACCTCCCAGTAAGCTCTTTTTTAAGGTGCAAGGGTTGGTTTTCTGAGACAAAGTGTTTAGTGTAGCCAAGGATGACCTTGAACTCTGATCCTCCTGCCTCCTACCTCCCAATTGCTGGGATTAAAGCATGTGCTACTATTGTCAGGTTGCTCTACTTTGTAATAGTTCTAGCACCTCCCAACATTACTACACTGAGAACTAAGTAAGCTTCAGACACATAAACCCTGGGAAGACTAACCATAGCTAGGTGGGAGAGAGAATCTGCCTTTAGGATATTGGATTATTCTGATCAGGGATTTATCCCCCCGCCCCCCATGCTAGTTGGCAGAGTAATCTTTAGGAACCACTCCCCTTCATTATCTTATATATATTTAATTGGGACTGGAGAGCTGACTCAGCAGTTGAGAGTTGATTGCTCTTGCAGAGGACCTGGGTTTGGTTCCCAGCACCCACGTGGCTGATAATTGTCTGTAACTCCAGTTCCAGGGGATCCAACGTCCTCTTTTGACCTCCATGAACATTGCTGGACATGGGTGCACTTACATGCAGGCAGTATACTCATACACCTTTAATCTCAGCACTCCAAAGACAGAGGCAGGCAGATCTCTGTGAGATTGAGGACAGCCTGGTCTATGTAGTGAGTTTCAGGCCAGTTGGGGTTACAGGGAGACCCTGTCTCAACTGCCCTCCCCTCAAAAATTAGTTCAAAATTTTATTTAAGTGTGATATTTTTTTCCCCAGCATCTGTTAGGAAAGTCCTATTTCATATTGAATATTGTTAGAGGAAGAGTACTTAACCTTTGTGGGCCCAGAGTCTTGGTCAAGAATGGGGATTGACCTTTATTATCATCATTTCCCCCTTTTCCTCCTCCTTTTTTCTTCTTTTGTAAGAACCACCACTTTATTTCCATGGAGGTTTAAAAAGTTGATTTTTTTTTCTCCTCAGCTTGCTGAACTAAAGCAAGAATGTCTTGCCCGTGGTTTGGAGACCAAGGGAATAAAACAAGATCTTATCAATAGACTCCAGGCGTATCTTGAAGAACATGGTAAGTACTTTGTGCAGGTGGCAGTGTGATGTGCTGTGAGTGAAAGCATTAATTTTAAGACTCTGACACTTAGAAGATGTCTTCTTTTAGGTAATTGGTGATATAATGTCTAAATTAACAGCATCAAAAAATGCTTAGAGATAGCCATGGTGGCTCATGCACTAATCCTAGCACTTAGGAGGCTTAGGCAGGAGGATTGCCTCAAGTTCAAAGCCAGTCTGATTTACAGAGTGAGACCCTGTCTCTTAAAAAAAAATTTATGGGGCCTGGAGAGATGTCTTAGAAGACATGGATTCAAATCCCAGCACCCACATGGCAGCTAACAACCATCCATAAGTCCAGTTCCAGGTCATCTGACCCCTTTTGTCCTCTGAGGGTACTGCATGACATGGGTGCACTTAGACACATGCAGGCTATACACTCATACACATAAAAATAATAAATAAAATAGTTTGTAAAAGGGGGCTGGCAAGATGACTCAGTGGTTCAGAGCACTGACTGCTCTTGCAGAGGACCCAGGTTCGATTCCCAGCACCCACATGGTGGCAACGAACCATCCTTAACTCCAGTTCCAGAGGAAACTGAAGCCTTCTTCTGACCTCTGCAGCATTGCACGACATGGGTGCACTCACATACGTGCAGGTAATACATGCATACACGTAAAATAAAAATAATAAAATATTTTTTAAAAAGTTTGTAGAAAGCGTAATACTATCACTAGACTGAAGGCTTGAATTTTAATTCCCTTTGTGCAAACACATTTACTAAATATATTTGGAGAGTCACTGTATAGCTAAGTGTCAATCCTTAATTTAATGGTATTAGACAAATATCTGAACACTTGAAATCCATAAAGTAGATAATATCTCGTTCCTCCTAGGCCTGACATTCTCCAGTTCTACCTTTTAAAAAAAATAAAAGTAACCCCCAACTTTTTTAAGGCACATATTAATCATCTCAGGTTATACACACTTAATTTTTACTTGCTCCCTTTTATTTCCATTTCTCATTTCATTTTCTTTCAATACTCTCAGACATCCATTCTAATGTATTTGATATGTTCAAGATATATTCGGGGCTGGAGTTCAGTGGTTAAGAGCACTGTCTGCGGGCATGGTGGTGCATGCCTTTAGGCCCAGCACTTGGGAGGCAGAGGTAGGTGGATTTGAGTTTGAGGCCAGTCTGGTCTACATAGTGAGTTCTAAGCCACAGGGTCTCAAAAAGCCCCCCATCCCCAAAAGAGTACTGGCTGCTTGTGTGAGGACATCCATCCACATGGTGGCAAACAGCTGTCTGTAACTCTACTTCTGGGGTATCTGATGCCCTCTTCTGGCCTCTGTGGGCATTGCATGACACAGGTGTTCTTATATGCAGGCAATACACTCATACACATAAAATAAAAATAATAAGTAAAATATTTTTTAAAAGATGTATTGCTTAATACAATATTTTCATTTATATCATTGATAAAGAGGCCATGGCCTGCCTTTATGTCTCAATTTTTTGCGGGGGGGATCTTTTTGAGACATTGTCTCCCTGTAGCCCCAGCTGTCCTGGAACTCACTATGTAGACCAGGCTGGCCTTGAACTCACAGTGCTGGGATTAAAGGCGTGTGCCACCATGCCTGGCTATGTCTCACTCTAAGTGGTATCAATGTGGGGAACTGGGGCAGTGGCTCAGTAGGGAACATTTGCTGTATGAGCATGAGAACCTGAGTTCAGATCCCTAGTACTCATGTAGAAGTTGAGTGTCCACAGAGGCCTGTAACCCCATTGCTGGGGGACAGACATAGGTGGATCCTGTCCACCTTGCTGTCCAGCTTGCTGGCCAGCATCCTTAGTCAAAAATGGTAAGCTCCATGTTCAAAGTAAATAAATAAAAAGAGTGATAGAGCAGGATACCCAACCTCTTCCTTTTGACTCCACACACACATGCGTGGGCACATTCACCTACGTGTACACAGACTTACACACTTATGTACACCACACAAATAAAACTTGTAGCTGTGTGTATGAGTGTTCTGCCTGCATGTATATAAGTGCACTCCTGTCATGCAGTGCCTGGGAAGTCAGAAGAGGGTGTCAGATCCCTTGGAACTGCAGTTACAGATGGTTGTTAGCCACCATGTGGATGCTGGGATTCGACCCCAGGTCTTCTACAAGAGCAACCAATGCTCTTAACTGCTGAGCCATCTCTCCAGCCCCTCAGCAAGCACTTAAAATTTCTTTTTTTTGTTTATTGGTCTTTTTTTTTTTTTTTTCTTTTTTGGAGTTTTTGAGACAGGGTCTCCCTGTAGCCCCAGGTGGCCTGGAACTCACAGAGATCCTCCTGCCTCTGCCTCCCAAGTGCTGGTATTAAAGGCGTGCACCACCATTATGGGCTGTTTTTGTTTTTTATGT